ATTTGGTTTGTTTTCCTTTCCTTCGTTAGACCTCTCTGGCGACCGATCCTGACGACCGATCTGGTGCGGTTGGTTTGTTTTCCTTTGCTATACCTCCGGTGACTGAACGACCAGTGATCTATATAGATCTACCGCTGGGACATCAGCGAACAGTGATATCGAGCAGAGAATCTACATCTAGTAGCCGCTTTGATATATTATATATACTATATTATATTATATATAATATTATAATATAGGTCCACAGCATACACCAAAGCAGGGTACAGTGCAAAACCTTTTGGGGGTCCTGAACTCAAAACCTTTCCAGGCTGACAGAGGTTCCCCAAATGTCCTCACTTCTTTGACCGTCTTGGCTTCCCATGGGAGGCATGCCAGCATCGATCAGGGCGGCAAAGTATGTAACTAGTGAAAATTACGCATTAGCAGAAACTTCAACCGATCCTCTCATTGATCGATCGAGCTCAACTCAAGTCATGACCACTGCAAGCGTTGCTTCCTTTTCAGTGGCTCGAGCCTTCTGGCAAGTAGGTGAGCACAAAGTTCTCCACCATTGCGATAAGTGCTCCGTGAGCGGGTGAGGTATGCAGCTGTAATGTCGCTGAACGGCTAGACAAAGAGAACCTCGCAAGGATGTAACTGGCAAGCTACAATGCACGCTACAAAGATATCTGCGCATATATTGGATGCACTGGGCGGTGCCCGAAGCGGGGGCAAGCCGGGTACGAAAGATGCGGGCCTCCATCGTCAATGGCTGTAGAATGGCTTTTAGCACTATGACTCCCACTATGACTTATTTTGACTACTACTACTACTACCACTACTACTACTACTACCACCACTACTACTACTGGCGCTGCTGCTGCTGCTACTACTACTACCACTACTACTACTACTACCACTACTACTACTGGCGCTGCTGCTGCTGCTGCTGCTACTACTACTACTACCACTACCACTACCACTACCACGACGACGACTACTACTACTACCACTGCTGCTACTACTACTACTACTACTAGGAGTTGCCTCCTTGCGAGCTGCATACCTCACCTGCTCACGCCGCACTTGTCGCAATGGCGGCGAACTTTGTGGTGGAGTTCAACATCAAGCTGGCCAAGGTGCCAGACTCTTCGCCATATCTTGCGCCAGGTACTCAGGCTGTTTGCGCAAAGGTCACACAGGCACAAAGAACTAGAGGTAACGTGGATGCAGTCCTCATGGATGAGCCTTTGGACATTGGCTTGGCCGAGCGTGAAAGCTGGGGCTGATGCATGGCGACCATGGTAAGAGCGTGACCACTGATCACTGATGCTGTTCCTGGGCCCACTCCCGCGCCTTTGATTGCAAAGTTGGCAAACTTGCAATGTCACCTCCCAATGCGCCCAAACAAAACTTCAAGTCATGCGACCCATTGCTTGGCCAACAAATTCAAAGTAGTGCTGCTGAGGTGTGGAACTGTGAGGACTACCTGGCCTTACTTGACCACCAAATGCTCCACTTCAGGGTGCAGAAGCAGGGCTTCACGGGAGAGCAGGAGATTATGAAGCAAACCATGGCTGCTCGATCAGAATCATGAGATTGAGAGACCCATGTCGTGTATGTTTTTTCACTGTCATTTGCATTGGGCTTTGCTGCGTCGCTCTAGATCTGTGAGGCGACGACCCTGCTGACTCGGGAGTGGAAGACCTACGAGCTGGAGTGGGAAGGGGTTGCGGCATCGTGGACAGCCTGCGCCTGTACCGGCCAGCTCTAGCTTTGCAGGCCTTCCAGGCACAGCTAGTGAGTGGATCATGCGGCATTCTCTCATTGATTTTAATGCTGCTCTTGCCATGGACTCTGGCTCGAAAGTGCTTTCTCTCACGCCTGACTTTTCTTGCTCTCAGTGAATTGCTAATTTCTTTGCATTGTAGTGTCTACATAGTTCCCCTACTATCTGGCGGTTGAGTTTTCCTTCAGGCCTAAGTCTATAAGCTCCCATCTGTCTGCATTTAGCAGGCCTGCAGGCTGGCAGTCCTGCAGCCCAACAAGCAGAGCTGCGAGGTGGCAGGGCGCAGCAAGGGCTAGCTGGAGCGGAGCCTGGGCCAAAGATTAGCTGGGACACGCTGCAGCTCAGGCTGGCTGACCAGCTCCCTTGGATGCCCGGTGTGCCACAGCGTGATCCGCTGGCTGGCTTTGAGTGGCTGGAGCAGGCGGAGCTTGACCATGTCTATGTAGACATGCCCTTCCCAGACAAGCTGATTGGCCTTGCAAACCAGTGTGCTTGGGCTGCACTTCAGTTGACAGTGGGCCATCTCTTTTCAAATCCTTTGACGCAGCCTCAGGCCTGGCTGGCCTGCAGACTCTCAAGAAGCAAGGTGTGCCGCAGGTGGAGAGCTGCGCCTTGGTACTGGCTTCACATGCTCGGCTGTGTTTTGGACATGCTTGGCTCAACATGCGCATGTAGTGCAGAACGTGATCAGTGTTATCGCGCATTGCCAGAGATGTTGGCCCTTGAGCCTCAGGTGTCATGGACCAACCAAGGGAGGACAGGCTTTTCTTGCGCGCTGCTTCTGAATGGGCAGCAGTGGCAGCAGCCTCGATGCGCGCTTTTTGAAACAGGAGGTTGCGCAGAAGCACTGCTACTGCACCAGTGCCCAGTGCCCTCCTGTATCACTGGCAGCAGAAAGGCAAATTCTTTGAGCGTTCCAAGACCTACCTCTACCCAACTTGTGAGCGTGCTGGCACCTACTCGCTGACAGACCATGTGCCTCAATGTGAAGACTAGTTGAAGGGCTGTTGATGTGCCAGTGCATTAGTGTGAGCGCACAAAATGAAAGAGATGAACATGTGAAATGCTGAAGGTCGTGGAAACCTGTGAAATGCTGAAGTACCACTTCAACATTGTCTTGGTTGTCGCGAGTGTTTCATAAATGAACTGAAGCTAGTTATTGAAGAGAAACGTAACTTGACAACTCAACCCCCCATGTAGCTTGCACGCCAGGAGACACCAGCGGACTTCCTGGCCCTGTACTTCACCATTCAGAACTGGCAGCTTGGAAGCCTCCATATGGTTGGCTTCCAGGATGCGTGGATATTATTGCTCCTACGAAGAGATCTGACTGAGGATGCTCTCTTGCGGCGTGTGTTTGATTTCAATGCTGTCAACCGCGCAACACTCCTGGAAGTTGCAGACAAGGTCATTAACATGTACAGGCCAGGCAGGCTTAGGACCTCTTCACTAGTCCTTTGACCAAAGGGCTCGCAACAGTGCCACCGCCAAGTTGGTTGAGGCCCGCAAGCAGAAAGCCTGCCAATTCCACCTGAAGCAAAGGGAGGGTGCCATCAATCTCGAGGCGGACTCTGGAATTGGCTTGAATACTTTTTCGCTACTTTGAGAGCTACATCACAAGCAAGCATCCCACCGGCAGGGGCTTCCAGGACGGGTCGCCGGGAGCACTGATGGGTGCCTGGATAGGCGCCAATTTGCTGGCCGGACGTTTCTATACCACAGATAGCACGCGTTAGACAATGCTCCCTCGAGCAAAGCTGGTTTCAACCACAAACATTATACCCGGCGGATGAATTTATATTTTTCGATGTTGATATAACCCGCCCAAAGCGGCGGTGCACAGGTGAGCGTAATGAATTCAAACAAGAAAAACAGAGCAATGAGGCGGCGGCGAGCTCCCGGCTTGTCTCCAGACGAAGAGAACCTGGGAGCCTCCTGACGTGGGCCCCGAAGAAGTAGTACTTTGTGATCATGGTGTGGTCTGGTAACCAGGCGAATGTGTCTATGTATTATATATACATATTTACGTAATTTACCAACTGCGAGTTCCAGGCGTTCCGCCTTTTGCGTTTTGCGCGGTGAAGCGACTTTTCAACAACCCATTTCTTGACTTTAAGAAAATTTGGAAAAATTCTGGACTTAGACGTTGCATGATCCGGCATTGTTGTTTTGTTTCTTTTTCTTTTGCATAGCTACACCTCTTTTACTACCTCTCTGGTGAGCGATCTTGGCGATATGGTTGGCTTGGTTTGTTTTCCTTGCCTTCCCTATAGACCTCTCTGGCCTCTCTGGTCACCGATCCTGGCGACCGATCCGGTATGGTTGGTTTGGTTTGTTTTCC